AGGGGGAAAACAATGGAGGGGATAACAATGTTCAAGAGGAAGTGTACTCATTACCTCACTCATGTAACTGTAACCCTCTGTATAGTATCTTCACAATAATAAAAAAAAAGAAATGTACCGTCTTGGGCTGGGAAGGTGGCTCAGTGGTAGAGTGCTTGCCTTGCATGCATGAGCCGTGGGTTCGATTCCTCAGCACCACATATGCAGAAAAAGCTGGAAGTGGCGCTGTGGCTCAAATGGTAGAGCTCTAGCCTTGAGCTGAAGAGCTGAGGGACAGCGCCCAGGCCCAGAGTTCAGGCCCTATGACTGACAAAAAAGAAAGAAAGAAAGAAAGAGAGAGAGAGAGAGAGAAAGAAAGAAAAAGAAAGAAAGAAAGAAAGATATCGTCTTAAACTTTAATGTACATAAGAATTACAGAGGAGATGATCTCATTAAGATGCATTTAGTAAGTTTGATTAGAACAAGCCACTAAGTGATGGCAATGTCCCTGGACTGTGGACCTATTTTCATAGCAAGGAAAGAGTGATCTAACGGAAAGGCAGATGCTTCGTTACAAAACATATTTTGGGGAGTGTTAATTAAATAAAACTCTCGTTTGGACGGAGCCAGGCGGAACACTTCTGTAGTTTCAAACATCTCACTTTCTGCCCCACCTACATTCCAAGCCCAAACTAGATTCCCCATCTTACACTGTAAGACTCGGAGCAGCAACAAGTCCTGCTACGGACCACAGGAACCCAGGTAACAAAGAAAGAAACATCTCTGCACTTACTAGTCTAAAGGCCCGGGGATTAGATGAAGTCCGAGTAGTGGCCTCTTCCACGCCATAAAGAAAAATTCAAAATTAAGTCCTTGTCATGGAGAGACCAATCATAGACCCGGTCCCCACATGATTCGCTCTCCAGATAGCGCAGGTGCACAACTTAGCTTATGATTCGCTGAAATCGCATCACGTAAAGCCAATCATGGCTGAGGCGCTTCTGTTACGAATATGAAGAAGGCGGGAGAAAAGAGTAGGAAAAGCCGACAAGGAAAGAAGGTGTGTCAAGTCCCTCAACTAGTCGGTGGAAGCTTTTGTGTCATTGGTTGGTTATTCTTCGGATTGCACCAATCATAAGCTCCTCTCTGCCGAGCCCGAACTATGAAATGGAAAGTAGAGAGGATTGCAGCCAATAGAAAAAAGGCATTTTCCCAGCAGCCAATCCTCCTACGGCGTTTTGTGTCTTTGCCCAACAGAAAAATGTGTTTCATAAAGAGGGGCGTTACCCAATCGCCAATGGGCGGGCGCAGATGGAACGGAGGAACCAATGAGTGCGAGACGTTGAGTGACAGCTGTCCAATAGAGACCCTCAGTGCTAGTACGGCTTGCAGCTTAAGCGGGGCCGCGGTCTGAGGAATGTGAACTATTCAACATGGAGGCGGAGGTCGATAAGCTGGAACTCATGGTGAGTTCAGAGTGAAGGCGGCCTATTGGGTTGTTAATTTTTCTATAGTTGCCTCGGAAATGGGGAGCAATTTGGAGTCGCTAGAAACTCTGGGTGGTAGAGACTGGGTCAGAATCACGTTCCATTCTGCGTCGAAGGGAGCCGCCACCGCCGGGTCTCTTAACCGCTGCGGGGAAAGCAGGGGTTACATCCGGGAAACTCGGGAGGGAAATGGCGGGAGATGTTGAGGCTGCCGGCCCTTTGTAGTTCCTTGCCTTCACTTTTCCTTTCCTCTGGGAGCTTCGCCTGGTGCAAATAGCGTTTTATTTATTTGCACACACACAGAAAATGTGACCGCGGGAAAGGGAGAAGTCGTTCATTATAGGAAAGTGGGGGTGGGGTGGGGAGAGGAATGGAGGATGGGGTGTGGGACTAAGCCTGGGGGGGGACAGAGTTGGGGGGGCAGGGAGAAAACCTTTCGGGTTGAGCGAGGTGGTCGTGTGCAACTTGCTAGGGGTTCAGGTTGCACCTAGCTCTGTTTTGAGTGCGGAGGAGGCCAGCCTTGGGTGAGGAGTGAGCCCTGGGGATCGGGAGCACGAGCGGGATGGGGGCCGGCCAGGAACCCCGCCCCCACTTCTAAGTGCAAGCCTCCCCCGCCCCGGTCAGGGGGTGGGGGTGGAGGTGGGGGGAGAAAGCGCGGGTCCCCTCCCCGGTCCTCTGTATTCGTCTCTCCCTCCCATCTGTTGCCGCAGTTCGATCGCCCGCGCTTTTTCTTAGCTCCCTTGTTCAGTCTACAGCCTTTTGCTTTTCACACTATCAAGTCTGTTTTTCAGATTGCGTTGGCTTCCTTACAAATCCTGAATTTGTAGGAAGACCGCTTTGACCCTCTCTGCCGTTTGTTTTCCTTGGTGAGGGAAAAGGAACCAGATTAAATTGAGAACTCGGAAAACTTGTTGCTTTTCCATCTGCCACTCGTCCTCCTCCTACCCCCTGCCGTTCTCTGGTGTGAAGTGTTTAGTTATTCTTGTGCCTGGGCTGCTCTCTTCCTGATGAAGCTTGGGGGGGGGGGTGTAACTTATGCTTTTTAGGGACACGTGGTGAACCTGGAAGATGTTGAGCACTATCCCAATCCCCCACTCACACTAAAAATGTGTAAGACCTTCGTTTATCTTTTATTTTCTTCTGGTGTGTTTCTTCTGGATTGAAGTACCTCTCTAGATAAATTTATTTGATTTGGAGGGGTTTCAACTGCTTCTAATGCTTTCAGTTAAAATTTTCTTTGTGGTGGGAGTATGCGGATTGCGTTGGTGGAGAGATACGGATGGGAAGGAAGAGTAATTTTCTGCAACTTTTCAAAGCTGCAATAATGAATATTAAAAGATTGAGCGCAAGCCCGGCGCCGGTGGCTCACGCCTGTAATCCTAGCTACTCAAGAGGCTGAGATCTGAGGATCGCGGTTCAAAGCCAGCCTGGGCAGGAACATCTGTGGCTCAAGCGGTAGAGCGTTCGCCTTGAGCTGAAGAGCAAAGGGACGGTGCCCAGGCCCAGCGTTCAAGCCCCACGACCGACCAAAACAAAACAAAGACTGAGCGCTTTTTTTGGTATTGTGTTTTAGAGATACACAAGGAGTTTTTGTAGTTTGATTCTGTCAAGAGGCATAAATGTAAAGCCTATATCTTGTCCATTTCTCTATTTCTTCCTTGAGATACACGTATTTCCATCTGTTAGGTTTTTTGTTCTTGTTTTGTCAGTGGTGGAGTTTGAATTCAGGGCCTGGGCTCTGTCCCTGAGCTCTTTTGGTCAAGGCTAGTGCTCTGCCACTTTGAGCCACAGCTTTTCTTCCCATCTATCTGTTAGATGTTAACTAATGTTGATTTTGCCTTTAACAGATTTTTTTCCTCCTAGTCAGCTGTTTAATTTTTAAGCTTATCTATGCATTCCAATAGGGTTTATATCTTGCCAGATTTCTTTAGATCCTATTTCTACAAGAGAAACAATTATGTACACATCTAAGAAAAGTTTGTTTTAGAAAGTTATGAGTTAGCTAGACTTAAATGTTTATGTGTAGTATGAACTCGGTAGTTTGCACAAGGCTCTGGGGTCAATCACTCTTACAGCATAATACAACAACTAATACTACTACTAATAAAATTATGATGGTAGTTTTAAATTTTCTTTCTGAAGAGAGGAAGAAAAGAAAGATTTTTTTCCCTCCTGGTCCTGGGGCGCTGTTCTTTTGCTCAAGGCTAGGACTTGAGCCACAGCACCACTAGTGGCTTTTTTTTTTTTTAATTGGAGAGAAGAGTGTCATGGATTTTACTGCCTGGGTTGATTTTAAACCTAGATCCGCAGATCTCAGCCTCCTGGAGTAACTAGGATCACAGGTATGAGCCATTGGTGCCTAGCTGGTTTATACATATAAATGTATAATTGATATACATATCATATATAGAAGTAGCAATATGACCAAGGGGCATTACTGGCCTAATGGAATAGTTGTGTTTTTATTCAAGACAAACCATATTGCTAAATATGATGTGAATACTGGGGTTTTGTTTGTTTTTCTCCCCTGTGAGTAACCCCTACAGATAAAGGGAATGAGCCTGTAAGGTTGAGGAAAATGTTGGACTAGATGAAATTTGCATGTGACAGTCTTCTGGTTTTGGTAAAATAAAATTCCCTATCCATACTGCATTTCACAGATGCAGTCTCAGGGTGACTAGAAATAACATACTAGTGTTTGTCTTTTCATGACATCAAATGATTTACTGAAAGGAAAAAAAACCCTCCCTCCCTCACTCCCTCCCGTTCTTTCCTTCCTTCCTTCCTAGCTTCCTTCCTTCCTTCCTTCCCTACTTTTCCTTTCTTTCTTCCTATGGGTTGAGTACTGGGGTTTAAACTCAGGGCTTCATGCTCTTAACTGGCTTCCTTGCTTTTGGCTTTCACTCTACTACTTTAGCCAAACTTCCAGTGAATTAGTATATTACTGGTAGCTGTCTCCTCCCTTTACTGGATTAAAAAAAATCTATTAGAAATTTTTATTGTGGTTTTTTTTTAGCACTACTGCTTTATGTTGACTATATATTAAAACTGCTCTTCAGATTCTCCTTTTTGTTTTTGTTTTTTTTTTTTGCCAGTTCTGGGGCTTGAACTCTGGGCCTGGGCACTGTCTCTGAGAAATTTATTACTTTTCACTTATTTTTGACACTTTTATCCAAAGGACTTGTTTTACATGGCAGGTAATCCATCAATTGTTTTGGAAAAGAATAATTAACAATTTATCTCAGCAAAGAACAGAAATATTTTTCATAGCCTAACCTTAGTGGTAATTATAATTGGTTTTGTTAATACCAATCCTAAGGTATTATTAATATCCATGTTAATTACTACTAAGATATAGAGCATATTTCCAAATTTTCTTTACATTTATGCATGTTTCTGTAAAGGAACAATCGTTTCGATATTTTTAAGTCTTATGCTTAAAAATAAACATTGATATAAATGGTTTTAGGTTTTGGATGTTCTCTGACTAAAATGGCAACCCAGTTGTTTTCACTTCAGATGACCAGGATGCTTTTCTGTTGCTTTCGTCCTTATTGCTGCTAACGAATGCTCTGACTTTATTGCACTACTGTACTTTACAGCTAGCAGTGCAATAGTATTGTCAAAGCATCTGAAAGCAGGGTGCACACCAGATTTGTGATTCTTGCCTTACATCTTTGTTCAGTACGTCAATAATTTGTTGAAAATGGTATAATTTTATTACAGATATGTTTGAGAAAGTTATAACTTAAGCCGGGTACTGAAGGCTCATGTTTGTAATCCTACTTACTCAGGAGGCTAAGATTGTTGTTTGAAGCCAGCTTTTTTTTTTTTTTTTTGCTGGTCATGGGGCCTGAACTCTGGGTCTGGGTGCTGTCCCTCAGCTCTTCAGCTCAAGGCTAGCGCTCTACCACTTGAGTGACAGCGCCACTTCTGGCTTTTTTCGCTTTTGTGGTGCTAAGGAATCAAACCCAGGGCCTCATGCATGCAAGGCAAGCACTTTACCACTGAGCCACCTTCCCAGCCCTGAAGCCAGCTTTTATGCAAGAAAGTTTGTTAGATTCTTGTCTCTAATTAACCACCAAAGCCAGAAATAGAGCTGTGGCTCAACTGTTACAGCACTAGCCTTGAGCAAAAAAAGTTCAGAGTCAGTGCCTAGGCCCTGAGTTCAAGCCCCAGAACTGGCACACAAAACAAACAGCAGCAACAAAAAACTCTGCTACTGTACTACGTTGTGAAACAAACTTAGGAAATACATATAATATCTAAAGTTTGGTTTGTCTAAATGAGTAATACTTTGTAATTTGCTTCTTTCTACAATGCATTTGGAAAATTTCTGGTAACTCAGGTTTTATTTACTAAAGTTTTTTGAATTAGTAAGTGACACAAATAATTGCTGCCATATATTTAAGATGGCAACTTGCCAGGTATTTTTGTAGCCGGGCACTGGTGGCTCATGCCTGTAATCCTAGTACTCAGGAGGCTGAGATCTGAGGATCATGGTTCAAAGCCAGCCCAGGCAGGAAAGTCCATGAGACTCTTATCTCCAATAAACCACTAAAAAACCGTAAATGGCTTTGTAGCTCAAGCAGTAGAGCGCTGGCTTTGAGTTGAAGAGCGCAGGGACAGCGCCCAAGCCCAGAGTTCAAGCCCCATGACCGACCAAAAAAAAAAATTTTTTTTTGTAGCCAGGTGCTCATGGCTCACGCCTGTAATCCTAGCTACTCAGGAGACTGAGATCTGAGGATCGTAAGCCAGGTCAGGAAAAGGCTGTGAAACTCTTACCTCCAATAAACCATCAGAAAACAGAAGTGGCGCTGTGGCTCCAAGTGTAGCACACTAGCCTTGAGCTGAAGAGCTGAGGGACACCGCTCAGGCCCAGAGTTCAAGCCCCATGACCAACCTCTCCCCCCCCAAAAAAAAATTTATAATTTTTTTTGAAATAAAGCTTATTTTGTAATAATGAGATTTAAAGTATGAATTTTTTTTTGGTAATGAGTTTTATTTACATAAAATAAAACCTATTCAATGTAAGTGTAGAGTTTGAGTTTGATGAGATTTGGCAAATATGTATTTTGGTCATGTGGCCATGTCCACAGCCAGCATACAGAACATCTCCATCAAATTAAAATGTTCATTTTTGCTCTGTTGTCAATTGCTTCTCTCCCAGTCTTCTGGCAACCTCTGTTCTTTCCAGTTTTCTAAATTTTCATAGCAATAGAATCTGACAGTATTGTAACTAGGATTAAGCCACCCTGTCTGACTTTTCTTTTCCCTCTGGTCCCAGGGCTTGAAATCTGGACCTGGGCCCCATCCTTGAGCTTCTTTTGCTCAAGGCCAGTGCTCTACCATTTAAGCTTCAGCACCACTTCTGGCTTTTTTGAGTACTTGATTAGAGATAAAAGAGTCTCAGGGAGCTTTCTGCTTGGGCTGGCTTGGAACCATGACCCTGAGATCTCAGCTTCCTGAGTAGCGAGGATTACAGGTGTGAGCCACTGTTGCCCTGTTGAATTTTATTTTTTAATAGTGCTGGAATTTGAACTCAGGGCTTTGTGCTTGCTAGGTGGGCTCTCTAGTCTCCAGACCTTTTTGCTTTGGTTATTTATTTGTTTGTTTATTTATTTATTTTTGTCGGTCATGGGGCCTGAGGTCATGGGGCCTGAACTCTGGGCGTGGGCCCTGTCCCTCAGCTCTTCAGCTCAAGGCTAGCTCTCTACCACTTGAGCCACAGGGCCACTTTCTGGCTTTTTCTGCTTATGTGGTGCTGAGGAATTGAACCCAGAGCCTCATGCATGCAAGGCAAGCACTACCACTGAGCCACCTTTCCCAGCCTTGCTTTGGTTATTTTTGAGTTAGGGTCTCAGTTTTTGTCCAGGTCAGCCTGGACCACAATCTTCCTATTTATGCTTCCTATGGTGGCTGAGATAACAAGTGCTTATCACCATGCCCAGCCTTTTCTGTTGATATTTAGGGGTCTAGCAAACTTGTTTCCCAGGTTAGCCTGGAACTATGAAACTCTTGATCTCAGTTTCCTGAGTAGGTAGGATTATAGGTATGGGCCACTATCAAGTGAAATAGTTTGAAAATTCTTAATAGAGCCAATGCTCTGGTATCAATGATTCACATACTTTTTCATTTTCACATTTTCAAAATGAATTTTTATCATGACATGTAAATATTAGAAAATGTGCAAAGACTTGGTGGGCATGGGTTAGGTCATGCCAGTAGTCCCAGACTCAGGAAGCTGAAGCAGGAGTGTCATTGAGTTTGAAGCTACCCTTGGTTTACACAGAATTCTAGGTTAGTCTGAACTACATAGTGAGACCTTGTCTCAACAAATAAAAGTGAGGAGAAAGAAAAGAATATGTTTACTAATATACCATTTGGTTTATAACATAATTACTTGTGCTGACTTTTAGTTCCAGAAAGCTGATTCTGACCTGGATTACATTCAGTACAGGCTGGAATATGAAATCAAGGCTAATCACCCTGATTCAGCAGGCAAGGTAATACGAAAAATAAAAAAGCTTTTTAACTGGAAAATTTCTAAAAATAAATTCTGGTTTTATATATATATATATATATATATATACACATATACATATACATATATGTATACATATATACACTGCATATACATATGTACACATACTATATACACATATATGTATACATACTATAAATATTGGTTCCTGTGGTAGGGCCTGAACTCTGAGTCTGAGCGCTATCCCTCAGTTCTTCACCTCAAGGCTAGCGCTCTACCATTTGAGCCACAGCGCCACTTCCGGCTTTTTTTTTCTGCTTATGTGGTGCTGAGGAATCTAACCCAGGGCCTTCTGCATGCAAGGCAAGTACTCTACCACTGAGCCAACTTCCCAGCCCAAATAATTTTAATGTAATAGAGGATAACTATGATTAAGTATTAACTTTCTAGAGTTTTTTCCCTTAATTATACATGTGCAGGCACTGAGGTTTGAACCCAGGGCTTCATACTCTCACTTGGCTTTTTCCTCTACCACTCAAGCTATACCTTTTATTTAGAAATATTGTGTAATTAATGACTGGGCTGTATCCATTTTTCTTGAGGGGGCGGTCAGTTGTAGGACTTAAACCTAGGGATTAGTTGCTGTCCCTGAGCTCTTTTGCTCAAGGCTACCACTTTGAGCCACAGTGCCACTTCTGGTTTTCTGGTGGTTAAGTCATGGGGCTTGTACTCTGGGCCTGGGCGCTGTCCCTCAGCTCTTTAGCTTGAGGCAAGCGCTCTACCACTTGAGCCACAGCGCCACTTCTGAGTTCTGAGTGGTTTATTGGCGATAAGAGTCTCATGGACTTTTCCTGCCTGGGCTGGCTTTGAGGCTTTGAACTGTGATCCTCAGATCTCAGCCTCCTGAGTAGCTAGGATTACAGGCATGAGCCATTGGAGCTCAGCTTTTTTTTTTTATTAGTGTACATCAGTTGTATTATGGGTTTTTTACTGTGACATTTCCATACATGTATGTAATAATACTTTGATCTTATTTACTCTATTACTCTTCATTATCTCTCTTCTACCCCTTCAAATGTTATAGATCCAAACCATTGTTTAATACTTGTCTCTGTGTGTATATAACGTATGTTTGTATGTGTGTGTGTGTTTGTATTATTCCTGTACCTAGGCTATAAAATCCTGAATATTAAGAACGTTGTCTTACACTTTTTCCCCAGTTCTCAAATTCTGTCATATAGTCACATATCGAAGTTCAATTAAATGGAATATAGGATGTGTTGTAAAATTTAATTTGTAAAAAGATGTTTAAATTTTCCATTTCATTGTTTAACCTGTACTTTTTTTTCCTTATGTAGAAAAATCCAGTTACACTTTTAAAGGAATTGACAGCCTTAAAGTCTCGATATCAAACCTTATATGCACGTTTTAAGCCAGTCGTTGTTGAGCAGAAAGAGACTAAGAGCCGCATTTGTACTACTTTGAATAAGACCATGACCATGATACAAGAACTACAAAAGCATACAGACCTAGAGGTAATGATTTTAAGTGACAACTTGGATCTGTATAGTTCTTGTTCTGAATGTTGTTTTTAAAAGATAAACGCACTAGGTGCTGGTGGCTCACGCCTGTAATCCTAGCTACTAAGGGGGCTGAGATCCAAGGATCATGGTTCAATGCCAGCCTGGGCAGGAAAGTCCAAGAGCCTTTTTTTTTTGGTCCTGGGGCCTGAACTCTGGGCCTGGGCGCTGCCCTTCAGCTCCTAAGCTCAAGGCTAGGGCTCTACTACTTGAGCCACAGCACCACTCTGGCTTTATCTGCTTATGAGGTGCTGAGTAATCAAACCCAGGGCCTCATGCAAGGCAAGTACTCTACCACTGAGCCACCTTCCTAGCGCCCAAGAGACTCTTATCTCCAATAAACCACCAGAAAACCGGAGTTATGGCTCAAGTAGTAGAGTCCTAGCCTTGAGCTGAAGAGCTGAGGGACTGTGCCCAGGCCTGGAGTTCAAGCCCCAAGACCGACACCCCCTCTTAAAAAATGCAGTGTACACTGAGTTAAAACCATACTTACAATGTCCAATTTTCGCCTTTTCCTGGGCTAAAAATATGTGGTATTAAGCCAAGCACCAGTGCTTCACACCTATAATCCTAGCTACTCAGGAGGCTGAGGTCTGAGGATCGCAGTTTGAAGCCAGCCCAGGCAGGAAAGTCCATGAAACTCATATCTCCAATAAACTACTCAAAAAAGCTGGAAGTGATGCTGTGGCTTAAATGGTAGAGCGCTAGCCTTGAGCTGAAAAATTGAGGGACAGTGCCCAGGCACAGAGTTCAAGCCCCATGACCCACAAAAAAAAAAAAAGATAAACCCCCATTAACAGTTTGAACTGTTAACAAAATTTTCTTTGTCTTTTTGGTTTGTTTTTTTGTTTTTTTTTGGTCCGGTCATGGGGCCTGAACTCTGGGCCTGGGCGCTGTCCCTCAGCTTTTCAGCTCAAGGCTAGCGCTCTACCAATTGAGCCACAGCTTTTTTCTTTTTGCTTATGTGGTGCTGAGGAATTGAACCTAGGGCCTCTGGCATGCAAGGCATGCGCTCTACCACTGAGCCACCGTCCCAGCCCCCTTTGTCTTTTTGGTTTCAAAGAGGTTCTGACTTTGTAGATCAGGCTGGCCTTGACCTTGGAATCTTCCTGCCTAAGTGTCCTAAGTGCTGGGATTCCAGGAGTATGCCCACTAAATCCAGTTAGAAATGAATTTTTTTCACGTCCTTGACCATAACCATTCTTATTTCCATTTATTCTAAAATAAGTATGTGGCCTTGACATAACTGATAAAAAAAAACTATTCTGTCTTAGAGCCATGGCAGAAGAGAAAACTTCAGTGTATCAACTCTGCTGGCTTTTATACCTTAGTGAGCCGGACAAATCTGGAACCCATTATCTGATTTTGCTGTTGTTGTTATTACTCTAGTGCAGAGGTATTAAACCCATGGTTTTACCCATGCTGTGTTAGTATGTTCACCACTTAGTAACCTCTCTCTCCCTCCCTAATTCCCTTCTGTTGATCAGTAGTTGGGTGAGTGGGCCTGATGTTTCACATTCTCTTCATCTAGTTCCTATCCTCAGATTATTTGTGTGTAAGAATTCTTGTAATTATGTACCTCAATCACTTGTGTAAAACTTCAGATATCTTGGAGTAGAAGAAAATGATGGATGCTGCTAATCTGTGCACTAAGATTTTGAACCAACAAGTAAAGGATTTGGCAACAATTTCATTTACTATTAATAGAACCCAGGGCTTCATGTATGCTAGGCAAGCACTCTATCACTAAGCCACATTCCCAGCTCCTTGAAGACTCTTCTGCCTTGATCTGTGATACTTCAGATCTCGGCTTCCTGAGTAGCTAGGATTACAGACAACTGTTCAGAAGGAAACAAACCTTTTTAGAGAGTTTAAGTATAGTTCACATGTACATGTACATAGAGTATTTATATAAAAATGTGGGTGAGTGAACAAAGAGAAAATAATATTTTTAAATATTTGTTTTAAGTATTTGTGATTGAGACTACAAACTGATACAAAAAAGATATGGTAGCCGGGCGCTGGTGGCTCACGCCTGTAATCCTAGCTACTCAGGAGGCTGAGATCTGAGGATCACGGTTCAAAGCCAGCCCGGGCAGGAGAGACCATGAGACTCCTATCTCCAATAAACCACCAGAAAACCGGAAGTGGCACTGTAGCTCAAGTGGTAGAGCGCTCGCCTTGAGCTGAAGAGCTGAGGGACAGCGCCCAGGCCCAGAGTTCAAGCCCCATGACCAACAAAAAAAAAAATAAAAAAAAAAGATATGGTAGTGATGTATTACATTGCTGGGAATCAAACCTAGGGCCTCTTATATTAGGTAAATGCTCTAGTGATAAAAGTGTAATCATCTGAATCCCTGTAAAAGGGCTCAGTTATGAGTAGAAATATCTGAAATAGTAATAATTATGTCTAAGGCAGAAAGCTAAGGGAGTTTTCACTTTGTAACAGCTTATGGCTAATAAATGACTAAAAAGTAGGTTACAAACTTTGAGAAAGGAGGCCATATTCTAGAATCAGTAGAATCAATGGCAGCCAAATTGGGAAGTGTGGATATAGATCAAGGGACTAGAAAATTCAGAGAATATACAGAGGTGGCATTCACTCTTTAAGATGAAAAGGGAGACATAAAAATTAACCATTTTATTTAAACTGTGTGTGTATGCCTGTGTGTGCGTGCGCACACGTGCACGCATGTACACATGTGCACTCATGCATGGGCCAGTCCTAGGGCTTGCTCTCAGGGACTAAGCACTGTCTCTGACCTTTTTTGCTCAAGGCTAAAGCCAAACCTCCAATTCAGACCTTTTTAGGGGGTAATTTATTGTTAATAAAGCATCTCATGGACTTTCTGCCTGGCCTGGCTTCAAATAGGAATCTGAGTAACTAGGATTACAGATGGTGAGCCACTGGTGCTTGGCTTTAGTATTGGGTATTTTTTGGTCCTGGGGCTTGAACTCTGGGCCTGGTTGCTGTCTCTGAGCTTCTTGTGCTTAAGGCAAGCACTCTACTATTTGAGCCACCATGCCACTTATGGCTTTTTCTGAGTAGTTTATTGGAGTTTCCTTCCTGGGGCTAACTTCCCACAATCCTCAGATCTCAGCCTCCTGAGTAGCTAGGATTACCTGAGTAACCGGCATCTGGCTCTATTATTGAACTATTTAATAACCAAAATGTGATTGAAAATGGAATAATATGTATATAGAGAATTATATATCCAAAAAATAGCTCTTAAATTTGAGTTTAAAGGACATACTATGTGGTTGAGTATATAGCTCATGGACAGTGTTCAGGCCCTGAGTTGAAGCCCCAGGACTGGCAAAGAAAAGAAAAGTGAAGCCCAGGGATAGAGTCCAGCCCCTGAGTTCAAGCCCAAGGCCAGCACCCAAAAATAAAAAGGTAGCAGAAGGGGGGGATAGCTCAGGCCTAGCTACTCAGAAGGTGGAGATTAGGAAAGAGGTTTGAGATCAGTCTGTGCAAAATGTCTGTGAGATCCTGAATCAGCCAATAAAAATAATGCAGTAGTTTGTGCTTTTTTTTTTTTTAATCACAATTACAGGGTAGTCATGAATAGGAGGCTGGAGATCTAGATAAGCCCATGCTTAAAACAAGAGACCCTATTTGAAAAATGAACTGAAAAAGGCTGGAGGCTTAAGTTGTAGAGGAACTGCCTAGCATGTAAGGCCCTGAGTGCAAACTCTTTTCTTTTTCTTTTTTTGCTAGTCTTGGGGCTTGAACTGAGGAGCTTCTTTTGCTCAAGGCTAGCACTCTAACCATTTAAGCCACAGCAACACCCCTGGCTTCTTCTGTTTATGTAGTACTGAGGAATCAAACCCAGGGCTTCATGTATGCTAGGCAAGCACTCTACCACTCAGCCCTGAGTTCAAACTCTTCTACCACCAAAAATAATTAAAAAAAATAAAGCAAACCCCAACACACTAGAAAGTGTAGGGGGATATTGTGATGTGCATCTGTAAGTTTACTTGGGATTTATAATATTTTTTTCATTTTGGCCATACTGAGGATTAAACTCTAGGCCTTAGGCTTGCCAGGTAAGTGTTCTAACACTTGATCTAGGCACCTTTCTACTTTATTTTTCAGAGATGATCACAGGATTTTTCCCAAACTAGCTTTAGGTTGTGTTCCTCTTACCTCTGCCTCCTGAATGTCTGGAAGGGAGTATAGGCATGGACCACCATACCCTGCCCAAATTGATAATCCAAATAATAAATAGGTAGCTGAGAATAGAAAGTTGGAGAAAGGCAAATACATGCTAATTTCCTTTTTTTTTTTTTTGGTCAGTTGTGGGGCTTGAACTCAGCCCTTAGCTCTTTAGCTCAAGACTAGCCTTCTACTACTTGAGCCACAGCTGCACGTCTAGTTTTCTGGTGGTTTATTGGAGATAAGAGTCTCTTGGACTTTCCAGTCCAGGCTGGCCTTGAACCATGATCCTCAGATCTCAACTTCCTTAGTAGCTAAGATTATAGGCATGAGCCACCAGCACCCAGCTAATTTCCTCAACTTAACTGATTGAAGATTGAATATACTTAATTTTCAAGGTGAGTTTCCAAAGGAAAAAAAGGAGTAAATTTATATCAACAAAAAAAAGCAAAACCAACTTTCAAAAATATAGTAAGTAGGCAACACAAAAAGCATTAAAAATAGGATGTGTGTTATTCCATTGATGAATGTTTCAGTTACTTGTGTTAAAAAAACTACTACAAACTTTAGTTGGCTTAACTTGACCTTAATTATTGGAAAAGTTCTTTAAGGATTAATCAGATGATTTGAAAACTCCTGATAACAATCACAGGTACAACACTGAGAACTATTCAGTGTTCTAGTATGATAACATTTCTTTTTTTTTTTTTTTTTTGGTCCGGTCGTGGGGCCTGAACTCTGGGCCTGGGCGCTGTCCCTCAGCTCTTCAGCTCAAGGCTAGCGCTCTACCACTTGA